CATCACATGGGTGTTCTTCTGTCAGAGGTCTAGGTTCCCAGCTTGATAACACGGTAAGCGTAGCTAATTAAAAAGGAGGATTTATTGCAAAAACAAACAGACAGCTCTGGACGGCTCTAACAAAGCCTCCGGCATCATTACTCAAGATGACCCTTCTGAAGACTTCTTCCGGTGTCTCCAGCAGATATTGAACTTACAACCCTCACGTCACTTGTTTTGCTTCCTATCTAGCAACCCTTCCATTTGCCGACTCCTAGGACTTATTGGATCAGCTCCAACCTCTACTGGGTCTGATAAGCTGTCTCTGATTTTGTGCCCTCCTGATTGTGCTTCTGGCGAGCTTTAGCTGCACTCTAGCCTGCTCTCAGCTACTGCCTTATCAGCCTGCCTGTCAAGGTCAGGAAGAGCCAAAGTCTGCAGCTGCCGGCTCTCCCCTGTCTGACTAACATCAGAGCCTCGCTGTTTCTGGCTGCTTTCTGCAGTTGGCTGCAAACCTTCGCTCGGAGCTGACTCATTCCTGACATCTTCCTGGGCTGTAAGGTCTGCTGCACTGACCATAATTATGTCAATTCAGTTTGGATTCTGCATCATTGTTTTTATGCAATTCAGGCCTGCGTATAGTGAGACAATGAGTAAATAATGAAACTAAAAATGGAAGGTTGAATAAAAAGGATACATAGAACTGGGTATCAGCAGTGTGTTGTTCCACTAATTTTTCATGGTAAGAGATACTTCCCGTCCAGGTCAGGGATGGTCCCATGGGCATTCACCAGGTCCTGCAGCCATCACCACTGACTCAGTATGCCCAATATGGTTGAGGATTGGAGATATCAACACATACCATGCATGTCTTTGTAATAGTCCATCTCTCTCCCCCAACCCCAGCACCAGTTCTTCTTCTTGTCTCTGACCACTCCTCCCATCCAATACTACCCTAGGAGCCCTTCTCTTGTTATCTTTGCAGCATGGGAATGTTGCTTCATCTTGGACCAAAATAAAATTTTAGAATTTCCTGCGTCACATGGCAGAAGCTAGAGCAAGTGTGGGTAACCATTGGTCCTCCAGATGTTGCTGAACTACAACTACCATCAGCCTCAGCCAGCATGGCCAATGACCAGGGATCATGGGAGGTGTAGTTCAGCAACATCCATAGCTGTCAACCTTCCCTTTTTTTGTGGGAAATTCCCTTATTCCAGCGCCGTTTCCCACTGCTTCCCGCTGCTATCCCGGATTGTTAGATATCCATAGACTGTCCCCGGGATAGGTGAGGCTGCTGATCCCTTATTTTCAAATCTGAAAGTTGACAGCTATGGCAACATCTGGAGGGCCAAAGTCTCTCCCCACCTGGACTAGAGCAATGTTGTCAAGGAGAGTAGGAGCTACAGCAGCAACATGGTTTCCTTCCCTGTGGTACAGGGCTTCTCACATGGCATTCAGTGGTTCAAACATCTCAAAGCTAATGGGAAGGGACCCTTGCCCATTCTGTTACACAACATTTATGAATTAGCTATTTGCATCACTTTACCCATCAGCTCTGAACAATTTATGTTATTTTTTTAAAAAAACCAGCTTATCTTCCCTGAAATCAACAACTTCCACCAGCTGAGAATGCAATCTCCTAAACTGAAAGACCTTCTCAAAGAGCTCTAGTCCTTCCATTGCCAACACCTTGGGGAAATAGTCTATATGTCCTGGTGGAAATGGAGACAGCTGTTGGTCAATAAATCATCTGAATCACTGAAGACTGATGAGCAGACGGCACACTGCAATATAATAGCTTGTGGCTAAGTTCCTGGGTTGCTCAGTGATGTACTTTTGATGCATTGCATATCCGTTAGCTTTTATTACTCTGGTGTGTGCATGCAAATCTATCGATTTCTCTGTCTGGAGGAAATGTTTAATCCCTCTTCAGAGATAACAATTTTTTATTATTTTGGAATGTGCCTTTCAGAGAGTCATAGCTTTCATCCACAATGGAAGGCATTGGCTGTGGGTCAGATGAAGGGACCATAGGACTTTGTTTTCAAACAGGGAAGAGCTATTAGAAGATTTCTACTGATCCATTTGTACCCTTTACGTATGAAATACTTCATGAAATCTTGTGTTGTTTAATTTTAGGGTACTGAACAATGGCATGTTAAATTATTTCTGAAGATCAAGTGCACTTAAATCTTTGGAAAAGCTCTTTGATAACCCGGTGGGCTTATAAGGCAAGTATCAGAACTGATTCAAGCATGCAGGCACATACTCTGTGTTGCCCTCCATGTGAAAATGGAAGTGTCAGTCAAGTCAACAATTGGTGGGTCTAGTTGACTGATTTGTTCCCTCACTGACACACCAGTGGTGTTGTGGGAAAGTCTGGAGCGCAGGAGGTCATAATGACAGGCCCCAGACAGCCATTCCCTGAGGGTGTCCACAGTCACATCCTCAACAAAAGTAATAATAATAATAATAATTTGTGAGCTGGTAAAGGGCAATGTAGTTGTTAGCATGTTGGCCTTTGGTTGAGGAGAGTTGGGTTCTCATCCCTGATCAGTCATGAAGTTCACTGGGTGACTTTGGTTCAGTCACTGTCTGAGTCTAGCCTACCAAACAAAGAAATTGTGTGCCAAACAGGTCCTGTCCTCCAAAATCCCACCCAATATTACACCACTGACAAATGGCGCCCCAGAGGATGATTTGTTTATTTTATTTACTTAACAGAATTTGTATACCACATAAATGTAAAAACCAGCCGTGATAGCTCCTGCTGTAAAAAATTATTGAAATTGCATTCCCAAATGTTCCTGCTCCATGACAACACTGCCCCCAAACCCATGGGTTTTTTTTTTAAGATGCCTTTAGGAATATGGATGAAATGTTCATTGCATTCAAAGCTTGTTTAATCAGATAGAATTGGCTTTGTTGGGCACCTGGGCTGGATCTACACTGACCTTTTAAACGTAATTAGAATGACATTAGAGATATCATTCCAAAATGTCACAGGGCATAATGGTAAATTTAAAACCTTCCTTGCCTTTAACAACAAAGTTTCCCTATTGCCGGGTCCTGATTGCTCTTCATCACCCTCTGATGTCACATTATTAACATTATGAGCAAAACATAATCTGCCCATTACGTTATGGAAATCATTCCTTAACTGTTTCTTAACATTATTGTAGATTCACCCTGGTGAGGAGTCTCAGAGCAAGGAGGAGGTCTAACTAGAGAGCCAGTCTCTTTAAGGGAATCTTGCCCAAGAGTTTCCCAAAACCTGACACCAGTCCCTAGGCATAACAAGTGTCTATCCAAATCACAAGCAACAATATCAGCAATGCAACCTTCAGCTCACTTAAAAGCTGTTGCCTGTCTCCATTCTCATGCAGACCTAACTAAGGTAGGGCCTGCAGTATCCTCTAAAGATGTATCTTGATAGCTATTCAATGTTTTGGAAAGTTGTAAATAAGATTTTAGGAGTTTTTAACAGCAAGTTGGCAGAGCTGTGGCGCCATTCTTTCCTTGACAAGCTACTTCATCAGCTTCAGTGACACAGCCATCTCACCGCTGCAATGGAAGTAGGCCCTTGGGAAGGAAGACCGTGAGAATTTCAAGAGTCTGAGCATTCCTGATCCTCGAGTAGAAAAATAAGAATATCCTTTTCACAGCGATCCTTAAAGAGAAGCCATACAGTTTGACTTCTGCGGCTTCCTTTACTCAAGCTCAATGAATTATGTCATTAGTCTTTTCAAAAATAAGGCCATTGTAATCTACATCTGCAATTCCAGCCCCTGTTACCTGCTGCCAGAGGCATAACATTTAAAGGAGAAGAAGAAGCTCTTCATTTGATCATTTCACTGCAGGAGCTGAATATATTGTAGTCCTCACGCAGAGAATGCCAGGATAGTGAATATAATTTTCCAGGTGCTCTTCTCCTTCAAGAATCCGCCCCCTCCTTTCCTGTAGAGGAAAGGAACTTATTGGACTAGAAATAAAGCCAGAGTAAGAATGACATTTAGCTACTTGAAACCTGGATTGTAATTTGACCCTATACTCTGGGAACCTGGGAGAGGACAACAAAGAAGCGCAGTTGCCCTGAGGGTGATGTACATAACTCTTAGGTTTCACTTTTATGGGATCTTCCCACCCTGGTCAGCACCTTGCATAGTGCACATTGGACGTGAGTATTGTCTAACTGGAAGTATCATCATTTATGAGAAATGAATGCATATATACATGATAATCAATATAATTATATCAATCAGGGTTCACTCACCTTTTTAGGTGCATGGCAGAGGCAGATTTAGGGCACCGCGACCGGTTGCCCTGCACTGGGTGCCGAGCAGAGGGGTGGGGCGTACCACAACTATGACACAGCGCATGCGCAGAATGGAAGGTGGGAGTGTGTCAAAATTCGGCCTCGCACAGGGCACGACTTAAATTTGAAAGGCCAAAGTCTGCCGCTGTACATGGACATGTTTGTTTTTCAGTGAGTGTCATGGGTTACTTCTCTTCCCCCTTCCCCTAGATGAGCCCCACCTGACCTCCTAAAACGTTGGGTTGAATTAATCTGGGTCTTGGAAAGCACAAAGAAACTAAAAGAGGAAGTGGGGAAATGGGCTAGTCTTTCGACTTATTCCTTCAACCTCATTTATTTTTTCAAGGGAAGTGTAGTAGTCACCCTCACTGCCTCTTGAGCAACTGCCCGATAGAAATGGTCGTGAATACTGACTATTATGGTATGTTTAGCAGAACAGACCAACAGAGATCAAGGCAAGGAATTACGTAAGTGAGTAACCAGCTCTTAGTTTAGAAATATGCAACATTCCAGTTTAGTAGCCAGCTACTTTTGTAAGTGGGGAAGCTTGAAGAATCCGATCTTTGCAGATTCTGATCTGGATAGAACCATAAATATCCACCAGATTTCGCACTTCTAACTCCCCCCACCCGCAAGGATCAAAATACTCTTTAAAAACATGTTTTCAGTTAAAATCTTGTTTAGGAATGCATATTTTGAGAAAAGCAGCTTAGAAATATATGTTTGCTCAGTTGGTTAGAGCATGTTGCTGATAATGCCACGGTCATGGGTTCAATTCCAATATAGGCCACCTGGACTAGATGGCCGTCAGGGTCCCTTCCACTGCCATGATTCTATGATATAAATGGAATCTGTGGTGATTTTATTTTTAAAATCGCAGATGAACGTGGAAACAGGACAAAATGGACTAATGGATGAACACAGGAAAATGGAGGACTGCCTGCGGAGGGCCTGAAGGACCCTGTCCTTGCCTCTTTCCACCTGGCCTGACAGGCTTCACAAGGACTGCAGCTGCTGCTCAGCTGACAGGGCTCCTCTTTCAAATTGTTTTTAATTTTTATCTGTGTTGTTTTAAATGAGACCATCTTGGCTGTGAGCCCTGGAAGACCTGCACCCTGCCTTACTGGCCCTTTCCCATCTGGCCTGGGAGAGTGGAGTGCTGACTGAATCCAGCTACGAAAGCTGAGGCTGTTGAACTGATTCTTGGGTTGGAGTATTGTTTACGGGGGGTTGAGAGAGCTGTTGCTGTTATTGATATTGTTGTTGTATCTTTAGTTTTAAATCTAATGATTTATGTGGAAATTGTTCCCATTAGGTTGTGCACTTTTTGATGTGTTTTATTTATTGTTTATGACTTCTGTTATGTCTGTAATTATGTAAATCTTGTCATGTTGTAAGTCGCCTTGAGCATAGTTTCAACTATGGAAAGTCGGCATACAAATAAAATGATGATGATGATGATAATGAAAATGGCACGGGGGGAAATGGCACAGTCCAGAAATATAGCTAAACTTTAGTCAAAATTCAGCTAAACTTTGCTCAAAGTAAAGGTAAAGGGACCCCTGACCATTAGGTCCAGTTGTGGCCGACTTTGGGGTTGTGGCCCTCATCTCGCTTTATTGGCCAAGGGAGCTGGCGTACAGCTTCCAGGTCATGTGGCCAGCATGACTAAGCTGTTTCTGGCGAACCAGAGCAGCGCACAGAAACACCGTTTACCTTCCTGCCGGAGCAGTACCTATTTATCTACTTGCACTTTGATGTGCTTTGAACTGCTAGGTTGGCAGGAGCAGGGACCGAGCAACGGGAGCTCACCCCGTCGCGGGGATTCGAACCGCTGACCTTCTGATCAGCAAGTCCTAGGCTCTGTGGTTTAACACACAGTGCCACCCGCGTCCCTTCTCAAAGTAGACCCATGGAAATTAATGAACAGGACTATGTTAGGTCCACCAATTTCAATAGGTCTGTTTTGAGCAAATGTTAAATAATACCAAGATTTATTTGTCCATCTGCTGTTGCTAACATGCCCTTGACTGCACCGAGGAACTTCTGACACTTGTACTTTTACTGCTATAAAAGTAAATGGGAATGCCAGAATATGGGAAAATGGGAATGCCAGAATATGATCTGTCTAAAAGCACTGTATTGGGATGTGTTTGTATGTGTGTACACACACACACACACACACACACACACACACGCTCCTTACTCCTCTTTGGCAAACTGCATACAATAGCAAACAGAAAAATCAGATGTGCACCCAACTATCCCAAAAGACCAATGCAAATATTTCCTAGGACAAAAAGAAAAGCTGGGTTACATATGCCAAGCTATTATATTGACAGTTGTTCCAAGTTTATACAACTTCATACTGCAGGTGGGAGGTTGTGTAGCTGAACACATGAAAAACATCCTTCCTAGAGAAAGTTATGATACCAGGAATGAAAATCCTAGGGATTTAACCATGCAATCTCTCTCACACACCCCTCTTGGAATTTAAACTGGCACATTCTGAAAAGAGCCATGACATGTGATAGTGCTAAAATGCACATTTTGGTTCAAAGGCATGCACATTATTAAAAAGACAATGGGAAAGGCATATGGACAACCCATAATCCCAAACCCATTCCCAACAAGCCTTTAATTTGAAACAAATGGTTAGGAAAAATCCCAGGGTTCAGTACATGGTTTATACTGAGTGCAGGACATTATTGGAAAAATGCTGTTTTTCCAGTTCTTCACACAGTATTAAAGCATCTGTAAAACTTGGCTAGAAATCTAATGAGAATATGTTCTTTCATGGGGTTTCTGGCATTCTGTTTAAGGTCCCAGCTGGTGACACTGCTAAGTGTAGCATCACTCGCTGGTATCTCTGGTATCTCTGGTTCTTGATCTTGGCCAGAACTAGGAAATGATTACAACATTTTCTAGCCTTTGAAAAGACCCGTTTTATTTCGCACTTAGCTACAGAGGTCTGGAGGAAAAGGAAGAACGGGGTGTTTCTCAAAGCAGAGAGGCCATCTCAAACAGATCTGTTAAATGAAAGTTGCTCACAGCTTCCTTACGCTACACAGCGCAGCTTTGTAGGGCTTACTGTTCTAGCCTCTCCTCCTACATAAATTCATCTCCTTTCTGATATAATTTTCACCAGCACAGCTGTGACCATTACGTAAGCAGGGGGCAAGCAGCAAAGACCGGCACCTTCTGCTTCAAGCAATCCTTAGGCAAGCAACAACCACAACCACAATTTGACAACCAAAATTATCACGGTGCTGTTGCAGCTTCTCTGCAAGGAATAGTGACAGTGCTGAAGGTGTTTCTTAGTCTGAACAAAGTAAGATGAGCAAAGGTGGACATGATAGAGAAGTATCATTTCTACCAGTCAACAATAGAAAGTGTCCTTTCATACTGCATCACAGTGTGGTACGCTGGTTTGACATCAATTGATAGGAAGTGCCTACAGAGGTGGTGAATACAGCACAAGATATTATGGGCTGTCCTGTGAATCCACTGGATGAAATAGCGGAAGAACGTTGCCTCAGGAGAGTGAGGAAAATTCTCAGGGATGATTCACATCCTGGCCGGCACTTTCTTGATCTCCTGCCCTCAGACAGAAGATATGGAAGCATGATTAGTTACACCAACAGGGTAAAGAATAGCTTCTATCCAGGCTGCTGAATGAAAAGATAACAACAGGGCAAATGACTTTTGGGTTTGGTGGGTGTGCGTCAGTAAACGAGGGGAATTAAGACTAAGAGAGCTGAGTGGGGGTTGCTCGTATAATCTCACTGTATACAAGTTGTACAAGTGACAAAGTATTTTAATTTCAATATTAAGTTGTACGTATTGTGGAGTAAATGGAGAGACGTTCCCCCTATCCCATCCCAAGTCTCATAAAAATACAATCCAGGATCACCCAATGGACAGGACAGGACAGACAAAAGGAGCACTGTTTCACAACATATGTAGTTAAAACTATAAAAAGTACTACAAGTTATGATGGTGACCTTCAATTTAGATGACTTTATAAAGGTATTAGATCAGCGGGTGGTGCTGTGGTCTAAACCACAGAGCCTAGGGCTTGCCGATCAGAAGGTCGGCGGTTCAAATCCCCGCGATGGGGTGAGCTCCCGTTGTTCAGTCCCTGCTCCTGCCAACCTAGCAGTTCGAAAGCACGTCAAAGTGCAAGTAGATAAATAGGTACTGCTCCGGCGGGAAGGTAAACGGTGTTTCCGTGGGCTGCTCTGCTTCGCCAGAAGTGGCTTAGTCATGCTGGCCACATGACCCGGAAGCTGTACGCTGGCTCCCTCGGCCAATAAAGTGAGATGAGCGCTGCAACCCCAGAGTCGTCTGCGACTGGACTTAACTGTCAGGGGTCCTGACAGTGGACCTTTACCATAAAGGTATTAGATTAGTGGTTCCCAATGAGCTAAGTACTGCAGTCCTCCTGTTTTTCAGAAGCCAAGCCATGGACTCCCTACTTTTGAAAATGTTGATATCTCTGTGGTAGGTTTTGTTATGTGAATGGTGCCACCATACCTTCCAACATGTCCTAGCACAAAACCAGGCCATGCATCTTCCAAGCCATGCTCCCGCATGAGTCAGGTGACCTGCACATTTTTGCCTGAGAGTATGCCCCCCCCCCAAAAAAAACTGAAGGTCCGGGACAGTTGATGGGTACATGTCATGGGGCCCCTGAGTGGGTTACATGGGCCCCCCTGGGATCTGCGGATCACCAGTTGGGAACCACTGTATTAGATAAAGTCAAGGAGGATAAGACTGTAAACAGTTAGTGGTAATGGCTGACTGTATATTACCTCCAGGATCAAAAACTCTGAATACAGGGTGGAACAACTATGGGTTATTGCCCTTAAATCCTGCCTTTGGTCTAACAACAAAGACCAATTGTAATTCTAAAACAGTATAAAAGGGGGTTTTTTTATTCATTTTGTGCCCGCTCATCCTGCTCTTGCCTTTGGTAAACAGAAGACACAAAAATATCCAAATTATTTGGTTTCATGATGTTCTGCCAACCGTCTCCAATGAATAAAGGAATTAAATGTCATTTTTTAATAATAATAATAACACTATAATATTTTTCACTTCTAAACCAGTATATATAGTGTCAATTTTTGCAAAGATGATGTGAATAAACTGAAGATTAACCCGGAGAATGTAAAGGTTGTTTCTTATGTTTGTGTGTGTTGCTTTCAGCCAAGTTTGTGCTTCTCTACCATGAAAATTTATGAGCTACAGAAGGTTCGAGAAAGATTTGATTGCACAAAGTGGTAGAAGAACCCTGTAATCCAAGGAAATCACCCTTCTTTACTGTAAAGTTGCAATCTTATGCACACCAACTGAGCATTTGCCTCCTGGGACTCATTGAGACTTACTTGTAAGTTGACAAGGACCTGGACTGTTAGGATGTAGATACAGTGGAACCTCGGGTTGTGAAAGTGATCCGTGCGGGAGGCACCTTTCGCAACCCACAGTGTTCGCAAACTGCAGCGCTGCATCTGTGCACACGAGTGATGCAATTCGGTACTTCTGCGCATGTGCAAAGAGCAAGCTCCAAAACCCGGCAGTAACCCGTTCTGGTACTTCTGCGTTCGGCACGTCCGTAACCCAAAAACGAGAAACCTGCAGTGATTGCAACCCGAGGTATGACTGTATTGTTGATTGCAGGGGGCCTTAGCTCCAAATGAATGTATATTAGATCAGGCCTTTAATGGGATGTAGCACAGATGAAGAGACCAAATCTAAAAGACTTTCATCAAGGACTGATTCCCCGTT